TCCCAATAATAGAACACTGACAAATAGTTATCCCTTAACAGATTTTAACTTCCACTTGTAAGACTGTATCCATCTTATATAATTTATGGTATCTAACACAATGTCTCATGGTTAATCATTTTAAATGATTAACATCTGAAGATTATTTTATAACAAGAATCTGTACTGGAGTTATTTTAGTGTTCAAAAGTCTTAGTGGCAGACTACTTGTTTAAACAGAACATTCACTATAGCCTATTAATAACAAAGAATTTGAAAGATGTCAGGGAAGCTAAACTAGATCCTAAATAGTCAAAGTGATCCAACCAGAAAACACACCCTCCAATACCACCAGGAACCTCACTACTGCTACCATTCATTATCCAACAGTCATGAAAATCAAAGGCTCAGACCCCAGAAACATCCCACATGATACATGAGGAATAAAAGGCCTTTGGCCTTTTAGAAACAAAAAAATACAAATGCTATCAAAGATAGGGTGTAAAAGAAACTTTCGTACACTGTCAGCAGGGATGTAAAATAGGACAGCAGTTTTAGAGAACCATATGGAGGTTCCTCAAAAACTAAATAAATCTCTCATGTGATCCCACTATTCCACTTCTGGATACATATTCAAAAGAAATGAAATCAGCATACCAAGATGTACCTGCATACCCATATTTATCATGACACATTTCACACTAGCTAAGACACAGAACCCAGTTAGATATCTACCAACAGATGAATGGGTAAAGAAAATGCACTGTACATATGCACTGGAGTATCATTGTCTATAAAGAGGATTGGGGCGGGGGAACTAGAGGATACTGGGGAAAATAAACCAGACATAGAAACAGAAGAACCAGTTGGTCACTGTCTTAAACAAAAGTTAAGAACTGATGACCTGATCGCAGAGTAGTGTTTACTGAAGATTAGGAAAAGAGGACAGATAATGGGAGATTACATTTGAGTAATACATACTGTGGGCATGTGTTAAAAATATTACACTGATTCCTATTGATACGGACAAAATTATACGTATTCATCAAAAATAAAATGAAATACTAAGAAGAAAAAAAAAGAGACTTTTTCTCCTGCTATCTATTTTTGCTTTCATATTCTCGTGTGTGTGTGTGTGTGTGTGTGTGTGTGTGTGATGGAAATATCTCATGTGGAATCTTCAATATATTAGAATCAAAGAAATGTAGTCTTAATATTTTAGTCCATTTTAAAGAAATCCATGCTACAAGGGAAACTAAAGCTGAATGAGCAAATCAACAGTATTTTCCACAAAATCTATTGCTGAAGACAACATAATTCAATCAGACAGTAATGGCAAAGCTAGTATAGCTCAGGCAAAATAAAATATAAGGTTAGGTATACAATCTATTGGTATTATCTCAATTGATTCTCATCATAGCCCTCTAAATCAGACAACAGCAATAGCTACATTTTACCAATGTGGAAATGAGCCTTGTTAAACTTCACAAAACCACTATACTTTACCCATTTGGCTTTAAAGCCATCTATTTGCTTTAGATTTGAATGCCTAGAAACTACCTTATTCTTTTACTTATAGTATCAAATATAAAGAACATAAACATTTAGCATTTATTTCTACATCATATAGAAAATGGAGACACATGTAGAATTCTCAGAACCTTAGTAATTTTTAAAAACTCATATAATTTAATATTTTATTTTCTATTCTCCTAGTTGTAATTTATTTTTGGATACAAATTTTAAAATACCAATTAGCATCCACTTGCAAAGTCTTAAGTAGTCCCGCATGGTCCCAGAAAATGAACTGTCAATGTTAGTTTGTCTTGTGGGAAACAGTCCAAAAGTATCCTGTTGGTCTACTTAAACTCAGTCATGCATAATTTAGTGGATAATCACTGGTGTCCTAATCAATAACTCTATCTACATACTCACTAATCCAGTGGAGAAGCTATGTGATTTAATATGCAACAGACTCAAGACAAGCCCTGGAAATCCTGAAACCGTCTGTAGAACTGTGAGCTATAACTTTCCACTACTTATGAAGCATCCAATCTACAGCACTGTGTTATGGCCACTCCCCAAACTAAGACACTGGGTTTCTAATCTACCCTCTGATACCAATCAACTCTTACCTAAAGTAAGTAACTTCACATTTCTGGGTCTTAAAAACAAATTATTTATGAAAGAAGAAATAGGGATTTATGGTCTTTAAAATTTCATCTAGTCTAGGAAATTTATGAAGTCACAATGCTTCTGCAGTGCACTAAATAATGACACAGACCAGTGATGAGGGATACACAAGATTTTATGTATGACAACTATACATCCCAGTTTGATCAGTATGGTGTGTAATTATAATCGGTATCTTCATATAATCAAACACTCCCACTCTCAAAATCATTTTGGTTTGGAAAATGAGTTGTAAAAATAACATTATAAACATAGGAATGTTCCATTTTTGGTCATGAGGTACATTTAAGTATCATGTATGTTTTGACAAACAATTTTTACACATATAAAGCAAATTACCATGATCTTAGATATATGTTCCACATTACATCATTCCAGAAATGCCATGTTATTACTAAAAGGATGATATTTTTATAAGGATGTTTCTTTTCTGGGTTTTACATTACAGGCACAGATTTTAATAATATAGAACAGCAAATGAAAATTCAACAGAGGTTGATGTTTATTATGTGTCCATGAATAAATTAAGTTTTTCTAAATCTTGTATGAGGATTTTATATCTATGAAAATAATACTATCGATATAAATCATTCATTCAAGCAAGAGCATTATATACAGATATAAAGATATGTAAGATCTCTATGTAATATTCTTTTAATTCAAGTTTTTCTTAAATGACAAGACTAAAGCAAATTAAGACAATTTGATCTGAGAAAAACCAGATCCTAAAAATAAGTAATATGCAAGATGATCAGGATTCTGCCCATTGTTAGCCAAAGCTACCTTCATTCCAGTCTTTACTATTTTGAAGGCAGTTTGCAGCCTAGTTTCATGGTCTCTCAGGAACTGGGATTTGTTAAATAAAGATTAAATTAGATGCCACAGCTGATTCCAACGTTTAAGAATATTTATTTCCATGTTTTTCCTAATTTTCCAATTCTATGCTCTTTAGATGTTAGCATCTCAAATGCTATACATTTTATACTTTAAACTGATAATTGAATAAAATTCCAACTAAGAATTAATTAAATCTCTGAAATGATCTCCTTCCTTCCTGTGGTTGCATGAGTCATACCGGGAGAAATATCATCTTCAGGATGGGAAGATTAGCAGGAGAGAGCATTTAGTCAGTTTTCATATTAACAAGCAGGCCAGTTGAAATCACTCTCCAGACTTGATTTGGCCTGCAGCCAGACGGCTGATACTGTTAATAGAGAAAACATCTGTTTACCCTAATGTGTTAGTTTACTGTGCTTGGAAGCCGTCAGCACTAACTGCTGTGCACAGGTATGTGAAAGGAGTGAAGAATCTTTTGCATTTGGAATTCAAATTCAATAGAGGATTCTAACGTTTTGTCCCCATATTTTAGCTGTGCTGAAAAGCTAAAGGTAAAAATCTTTTGAGACAGACCAGAGGTATGCAGCACTGTCATTAATTCTGCATAAGCACTACCATTCCTCAGTTTTCATTGAAATCAGAAGATTTATTTTCTTACACAATTGGCTAAAATGAAGCAACTAGCACGAAAAACATACACACTGTATTTCGTTAATCAGTAAATTCAACCAAATCACCTAAACAGAATTCTATGCCTGAGGAAACAACTTCAGAATATCAGTGTAAAAGATTTTTTTTTTTTTTGCACCTGAAAGATACCTGATTTACATGTTTGACAGAGGCTATATCAAATTCACTCATCATACTAAAATCCATCACCTCAAATAGATGAAGCTGTGGAAATTGTATAACTGTGTGGGGAAAGTCTTCACCTCAAAATTTGGTGAGGCTGTAGTATCTTCACAAACTTAGTAATACTAAGTTCAAAAAAGTTTGCATGAAAGTCATAACATAACCAAACTCCTTCATTATCCTGGGTAATTACGCAAACCCTCATGAATAATTATTGGTTATTGAAGTACAAGGAAAACAAGTTTGAGTTGATATGGAGAAGGTCATTGCTTAAATGTAGACGGAATAATTGCTTTGTGGGACAGGCTAATGAAAAATGTACTTGCTCACCACAGCAAGAATCAGGGCATGAACTAAAACCATAAAACTTTTATGGAGCTTCTCCACAGATACCACATTGCTTGCTTTGTCTTCACTCTGCAGTAAACTGAATAGGAACAGGCTAAGTGAGCTCCAGGCATTGGGAAGGGTTGCTCAAACTCGGGGCCACAGCAGAGGCTTTCAGACAGCTTTCTTGGCTGCAGGTGAGAGGTACAGCCCTAGTCGATGTAGCGCTGCAAGTATGAAGTATAAATCAGGTTTCATAAATATGCCCATTTGGTGCACTCAATTGACTGTAAAATAATTATGTTCTGCTGGGTAATTGTTTTGCTGTGGGAGAAAGCAGAACTTCCAAGCATTTAACGGAAAATTATTACACGACCTGAATTAAGACCTTGTTTTTTCCCGCCACTGAGTGTCGTGCAGCAAAAATATTTTGTAACAATTTCATGTTAAGTGCATAAGATGCCAGGCTGCCTAGGTATTAGACTGTTTGGGGAAGCAGAGCGTTTCTGTTTGTCTTCTCACGTTTTTTATTTCTGGCTGTCCTCCTTCCCCAACATTATAGACCCACAGCACAAACACAACACATTTCAGAAATAATACCAGGAGTTTCTTATTCCCTAACAGCATTTCACTGACTGAAGGAAAGTGAGATACGAGGTTAGGGCAGAAAATATGCACGGGAGCTGAAATATTTTGTTTGGCATTTATGTTCTGCCTTTTATTTTAAACTTTTGCGGAAATTTAGCAGTTTATGTGCCAAAGACTCTCTGGGAAGCTTTGAACATATTAATATATGAGCAGTTCAGATTTACCTGGAAATGTGTGTCTGATGGGAAAGCATCTATTTCCCTATCACGGTAGAATTTCACGGAAATATTCAAGGTCTGTGCTTCTTGTTACTGTTTCCAGATGTTTCTATTGAATTAAAAGAAAAAATAATAAAATAAAAGGTATCAATTGGAGCACTATTATTCTATGCATAAAATCATGCATAAAACTTTATATGTATATGATAGTTTACCCACAATTTTTTTTGCTTTTTTGTTTTTTAAGGTTTTTTTCTTTTTTTTTCAGTTTTTACTCATTATTAGTGCATGATTGAAGTACTAATGATTACATTCCTTTTGAGAGTTGGTACACGTACATAACATATCTCAATTCCTTTCTCATTTCTTTCCCCTCCGTTCACAGCACCTGCCTCGCTCTCTCAATCTCTTCTCCATTTAAAAAGAGATCTATTTCCCCACTTTCCATTCTATCTTTTATTTTCATCATTATTTATATTTTGGGCTTCTTATATAACAGCAACCATGAAATCTTTGAGCTTGTGCATCTGATTCGTTTCACTTAACATTATAGTCCTGAGGTGTATATACCAGTTTAACAAATGTCTAGTTTAATAGAAAAGTATTTCTTTCACCCTAGACCCGTTTCGCCGTCCAGCCCATGGACGTGGTATTCAGCACATCAGGCAATGTCTGTGAGGGATGACAGTGTGCATGTTCCCACTTATAATGCAGTTGTACGCATACATTAAAGTATCTTCGCGGGCAATATTTCATTCCCTGGCATTTCATTCTTAGTCATTAGTTTTTATATATATTTATGAATCTAGGGAGGACAATTTTAATTGCGATCCTTCAGTATAGCTTCACTAGTTTTATTCTTAAAAATAAGATTGTTTCCATCTTGAAATGATCAACTTTTATTTTGCAATCCCTAATACAACTAGTCACCAGTCACAGTGAATCTAAACCACAAATCTGAGCACTTCAATATTTAATTGCCCATATATGAAAAATTTGTCTCACCCTTTATCTTATCTACCTCAAATTTTGCAAGAGCAGAACTTTGAAATGTGAAGGGTGAAGCTATTTTTCTATGCCGAGGTTTCTTCAAAGACCATCGCAATCCATGGGGTTGGTACTTTGAAGTTCTTTTTTTTTTTTTTTGCTGCTTGCCTTTTGAATCCCTGCGGAGCAAGCATTTAAGTCTATATTTCTTAAATTCAGAGTCCAAAACACTTCTTGTTCTGTTGCTACCCTCATTTACTGTGCTAAAAAATTATCTTCTCTTAGTTAAGGGAATCACACTGTGATTTGGAAGCACCAAAAATTGTACTTCAGGATGTTAAAATGAATGAGAATTTTCAAGTAGCTGTAAAACTCCTGTGTTTATAGTTATTCTGGGCAATTTTTTAATGAATATTATTCCTGTGTACATAAATTTTAAGTAATATGTAAAAATTTTGAAGCTGATTAGTGAACAAAAATAGGGTTAGGAGATACAGAAGAGGTAAATGTGTCAGCTAACCAATTCTAATGACAATCTTCATGTTATTAATTTTAATCTGCTATTTTTCTAGGAAAAGCATAATGCTGAATAAACTTTAATATAGTTGTTAGGATAATTTTTATTACTTATAAATAATTCATTTAGTCATAATTCATTTATTACTGTAATTTGTACTACCTTCATTCAGTCACTCTGTGAGCATTATCCGTTTCACTATTTGATGACCAGTTTATCCTGTATATTATTCACCTAAGTGAAACATGTATCTGTAAAAGCATTTTCCTTCTTATACATTCCCAATTCCAACTCTGCAGTCAAGATCTATGAGGCATAATCATGTTGAGTGTTTGCAGCGAAGTAGTTGTCTCCAGTACAGCTTCCATTTAGGATGGAAATGCTCCCTAATCTATACTACACAATGCAGCATTCACTGCCAATGTGGCTACCGAGTGCTCAAAACACAGTCATTGTGCCTGGAAAGCTGAATGTTCAGTTTTGGTGAACTTTAAATTAGAATGGACATATACTGCTACTGCTGTCATGGTGCAGAGCACAGAGTTGAAAAGCTCCCCACAAATTGCTTGTAGTTTGTTCAGGCATGAATTTTTAATCAGTTGAAATGTTTTTTCTTTAATGATAATTTGGCTTCACATACACTGTACACAAGTAGCTGATTTTTCTGGTTACATTTATCTCTTTTACACTGTATTATCATAGATATAAGAATCAAAAACAATTTAAAGTATTTATTTATGGCTTATCAGATTGATACCCCTATCGGATCTGAGCATATTAGTAAAATGACAAGGTGTGCACACGTGTGGATGACATTCCATATCAGAAATCTAGGTGCCTCACTAACCCATACACCTTTTAAAACCATAAAGATAAATTTACATGTGCCATGATTCAAAACTGACATATTCTAAGGGCCGGGGACTTAGCTCAGCGGCATAAGCGCCTGCCTGACACGCACAAGGTCGTGAGTTTGATCCCTGGTACCCCCCCAAAAAAAAGCCCAACAGACAGATTCTAGGTAAATTATCCCTGAGAGTGTCAAACATGGATGATTTGTATAAAAAACCAATCCTCAATGTTTCTTTTCATTTTCCCCATAAATATAAGCTACCAGCTTGCACTAACACAGGCTGTCTGCTTGCTGTATTCTTTATCCAAATACACAAACTTCACCACCTCAAGTCTCTCAAACCTGAACCAGCAGCTTTTCTTCAGTGGATTCAACTCTAACCACACCTTGAAGAAGGCATCCTGCCTACCCTCGTGCACTCTCAAATTCCCACATCTGGCTCTATTTGTATCCAAAGCATTTACTGCTGTTGTTCTACAAAATTCATTCAATTTATTCATATACTACTTTTATTTTTGCATGCTCTAGACAAATACAAGATTCATGAAAGGAAGTATTTGATTTGGTTTGATCTGTGATGTCACCATCTTCAACACAACACCACATAGTACAGCAAAGTGAGTATTAGATACTGTCCAGAGAGACGACTTAGTAACTTGTCCATGCATGGACTGAGAAAGGCTTTTTCTATATAATGCTAGCTAGTATATATTTCATGCACTATAGACTGTGCATGTTTTCTGCCACAAATTCTTTAAAAATATGAAGGATTTTTAGCTAATTGATAGCATAAAAAGAAACTAGATTCTGCCAACATAGTATAGCTTGCCAACATCTGGCCCAATCTAATGAAGAGATGGCAGAATAATGGTGGAATAGCCATAAGATGATTTGCCACAGAATTATTTATTTTTGACCTTGCAAAGAGTTTTGCAATTTTGTATACTGTTTCCTTGATCTAAGCAAGAAAGATTATTGTGGTTGATTCAGTCAGAATGACTAAAAAGTGATCTGCCTTGGGAAACCACATCCCTTTCATTCCCTAGTTGACCCAAATTGTTATTGTCGGTTTCTTATTAAACATTAATACTAAAATGATGTTTGGTGCTTAGTTTCTTTAATAGATCCTGTGCCCCATGAAAGATACGAATAAAGTTATGAAGCTTTTCCTCCAAAAAATATAATTTTACAAGGTGATAACAAGGAATCAGGAACTCATCGAAGAGTGACATGAAGAATTCCTTATTTTCTCTTTGTTACAGTGTACATCAAAAATGTCCAGTATATGTCCCATGTGTGTGAGATGTGACTGAATCATGGGAACACTATAGCTGACTTCATGCTTCCTGGATCCCATGCTGAGTGAGTTTTCTTTTCCAATGCCTCCTTGCCAGCCTGGTCCTATTTTGGAACAAGCTGATTGTGGATGGGAACCAGGAGCCAAAATGAGCTTCTCTTTTAAATTATGGGTACGTGGTATTTTGTCTCAGCAATGGAGAAGTACATAAGGCACATGTTGATAGAACACCGGAGTCACTTTTATGACTCTCCCTAACTATGTGGTTTATAAACTTTTGAAACATGCTGCAGGAGGAGTTTGGAAAGTTTTAAAAAAGAGAGTAAGACAAATCCTAAAATGTCTTGAGGTACAGTTGATGTGCAATACTGGTCAGAGTTCAGAAGATCAGACTGCTGATAGGAATACAGTCAGTAAAGGTCAGGATCAGGAGAGTTTAGCTGAGAGGAAGATGCCATGTAAGTCATACTCTAGCAGAAAATCTGTCTTAACTTTGCTATATCCTGAAGACTTCATTGGAGACTCAGATTGGGTATGGCAAATTAATTAACTGGTGGAGGAAATTTCAAAGCACCTGACATTCAGGCTGTGGCATGGGTACTACTGGTTGCTTTTAATCAGATCTACTGTGACAGTCAGGACCAACATGCAGAACTAAATAATTTGAAAAGTTTTGCTAGTGGACAGAAATAAAGTCCCTGTAAGTTGGTTCAAAGGAGAGGTTGTTGATGAAAAGTTTCTCATTGAAAATAAATCAAGTACTTTGCACCAGGACAATAGTAAATATGACTTGAAAGGAACTCAATAATTAACATCACTCTGCCTGTTGCAGTCTCAAGATCCAAAAGTATAAAATTTTTGTTTGTTTGTTTGTTTGTTTGTTTGTTTTGCTTTGCTTTGTTTTGTTTTGTTGAGAAGAGAGTCCTGGTATGTCTGCCTGAGAATCATCCATCTACTCAAGAAGAGTTGCTTAGTGATTGATTTCCTAGGTTCATTTCACCATGCTTAGCCTTCAAGTTACTCAAAGGCCTCTGCAACTATGGTCCAAGGGAGCATGGTTACTGAACCACTTGATAGCAGATATTAGGATGACCCATGTGTGCTGATTTGAAAGGCATGAAGAACGTGATAGTTCTGAAGTCCTAAAGACTTCCATCTGTATTTCAACAGAAAGCCTTAGAGGTCAAGCAGTGTGTGAGGCTATGAGAATGAGGTTAAAAATACAGTGGAGACCTCAAATAGCTGTAGATACCAGTAATGTGGAATATCTTCTGAGGATTGCTGTGTCCAGGAAGTGGAAGCACCCCAAGAGAGACTGAACATTGAAAACAGCAATGATTTAGAGGTGCATCTGTCAAAGTTCTTTGCAACTTACATATTAACCAAACATGCCTTGGGTGCTGATTTTCAGGCTTACTTTGGTGGTATTCCTTTGTAGTGTCCTATTCCTTCCTT